CTAGACTTGGAGCTACCTAAGAAGATTGTAAACCTGGCACTTAGTAGTTACGCAGCACTTGTAGAAAGTAGTTTTCTTGATGAAATTTGGCGAATTAGATGTAATGCAGTCGCTGAGTGGGAAAAAGAAGTTGGGATAGATACAGTAATGAAGAGAAGTAACCAGAAAAGTCCTGTCAATAAGGGTATCGTTACTGTTAAAAGTTCAATATCGAGAGTTGAAAAAAACAAAAGCAAAGATGGGACAAGTGATGCAGTTAAGTCAATAAGTAATAAGAAAGAAGCAGAGGTTTTGCAGTTATTTGAAAAAGGTGTTGTTGAATGGGTTGAAAATAGATCAACCCCATTTTGGTTTAGTTCTTGATAGAGCTGACAAGGTCTTTCAACCCACATGTGGGTTGGTGCGACAAGTCGCATCTGGGCGCACATGATGTAGCCGGGTGATGCTGGGCTTGCAATTTTTAATTAGATACTATTAGAAATTTTAAAACTTTGTTTTTAGTCTAATAGTAATATAATTTGTATTTAAGTATCGACAAGACTGTCAAAGAATTAACAAAAAAAAAATTATTTTGAATAAATTGAAATTTTTTTAACTTATTGGTTAGGTAATTATTCCATTTTCAATCAACAAATTTTTAATTATATTTATCTTGCATAATTAATATTTATCTTGCATAAAGTTGAGATTTTTTCAACTTATTGGTTGGGTAATTATTGCTGTTTTCAATCAACAAATTCTATAAATCTATTGATTCTACATTTTTTTAATCTGTTGGTTGGGTAATTATTGCCATTTTTAATTAACAAATTTTATAAATCTATGAATTTTGCATTTATTATTATTTTAACAATGGTATATAACATGTAGAATTCATAAAATTTACAGAATTCATAGCAATAAAGAAACTAGAATTAAGGTATAGCTTTTATATACTTATTATATATAATGGTAACAAAACAGCAACTATATATTAAAGCATCTTCGCTTATTTTTTTTTATCAACTTAAAAATGCTGCTCTTGTCTTCTTTACTAAATAATTGTATTGTAAAATCCAATATTAAAATTAACTATAGTAACCTAAAACTTATTGCAAATATTGTATCAATGCTCTGGATGAAAAAAAAGGAAAAGATATCTGTTTTCCTAATAAAAAAGACTAAATCATAGCATATTTAAAAAAATGTTTATATTTTTTGATGTAACTACAGCTAAAGAACGAGCTAAAATATTTAATTAATGCCAGATAACAATACATCTACAAAAAAAAAAAGTACTATATAAGTTATATACATAACCTATATTTGTAAATATAAAATTTACTTATTTTTTTTTTTTGGATGATGAATAATCTTCAGATACATCTTGAAAAGTAGTAGTTCGTTCAAAACTTTATGGTCCAATAGACAACTATGCTGTTTGGGCTTTATCAAAAGAAGATACTAAACAATTTAACAAGCTTTTGCTTAGAATAATAGTTTCTTGTAGATGGTCTTTATCTTGGGTAAATAATCCTGAAGTTAAAGAATATTATAAATTTTTAAATCCACTTCTTATATTCCCAGATTGTCAAATATTGAGCAATCAAATTTTAACTGAAATTATTAATAATACTAACAAAAATATAGAAATCGCTTTAAAAAAAGATCAGATAGGTGTAACTTTAATGTATAACAGCTGGACAAATGTAAAGAATGAGCATCTTCTAGAAACAGTTTTATTATCATCCAAAGGAAAGCTTTATATTTGGAAAGCTATTGATATTAGTTTTGAATGTGAAAAATATTAAGATGTTATAGATAAAACCAAATCAATGCTTTTCGAATTAGAGTTAATGAATATTAAAGTATATGCTATTTTTACTGATAGCACAGATGCTTATGCAGCTGCAAAGTAATTAATATAATGAATTAAAATAAAATATGTATAAAGTATAAGTAGATCTTAGAGGATTAAATAGAAATTTATATTTCAGTTTAATTTGATTTCATTATAATCTGTAACAATTAATATATTTTAAATTTAGATAATCAAATAATTACATTTTTAATTATAGATACTATTTGAGAATTTCAAGAAGATGAATAGTTTTTTTACCATGTTTTGCCCACCAATTAAATTTATATGTAGGTGAAATTTTCAAAGAATCATTATTACTAAAAAAACTATCAATCAAGGAATTAAACTCACTAGTTATTTTCAAAATACTAATAACCAATTTTTTATTAGTCAGTTATATAATTAGCAGTTCGAAATTTATTGTAAAACTTATACAATTTTTGCTTCTTGTAAAACTAGACGGAATAGTTTATTTTTATATGTACAACTCTTTTACGCATACAAAAAGCATTAGAAGTAATATATTAAATTATTAATAAATAAAATTATTTTTTAAAAATTAATTAATATTTATCTTAAATCTTGGCTATAAAATTTAAACCATCTTTTTCTGAAACTTGTTGCCATACAGGAGATAATTACATTCACTGAGAAATTTTTGATGATTTTTGGAATCAAATTAAAGATTTGTTTAAACTTCTTACTCCATATTGCAAGTTACTTACTATGCTCCAACGAGATAAAGCTCATTTGTTTGAAGTTACTTTTAGTATGGCTTATCTTATGCAATTTTGAGAATCAAATTCTGATGATTTTTTGGCAGCACAATTAATTGGAAAACTTGAACGATGTTGAAATGAATAGGAACAGCCAATTTTATTATTATCAGTAATTTTATATCCTAAATATCAAATAACCCAATTTCAAGCTACAGCTATATTATTATTATCATGCATGGACAGGTCAAGAACCAAAATGTATTCTTTGCGAATTTAATGATTTTTGTATGAAAAATTATCCTTTTGATGATAAATCTTATTAGTATTTTAAAGATGATATTTTATCTTATTAGAGCTTTACCAAAGATGCAACTAACGAATTAGGACTTGTGGCTTGTAGAATTTTTAGTATTTGTGTAAATGCTGCTTCCATAGAATGATTGTGGAGCTGTATAGGTTTTATTCAAACCAATTGACAAAGTCAATTAAAAGTAAGCATATGACAAATTGTAAAACTTATCTGTTATTATTATTAATATTTTTTATATTTTAAAATAAGCATCACAAAGAAAAAAATTTGAATTTTTTTTATTTAATAAAATTCTGGATTTTTTCTTTGTGATATATTTTTTTTTACTATATTATAGACACCAAAAGCACTTAATATGAGTAAATTATATGCTGATATAACTTATCAGCATTGTTATGAACTAGACGATTTCTTTTCCACTTTTTTTAATACAGCTTCAACACATAATAATACTACAACTCAAACAACATATAATAATGCTACTATAATACAAACACATAGTGATACATACTACTTCAACTTAGACAACACATGATAATACTACTTTAACTCAAATAACACATAATAATACTAATATTAATTTATTAGATAAGCATTTAGATAAAGATAAAAATAAGAGTAATAAAGAATGTGATTTATCTCATATTTCTGAAGCAGAATTTGGTGAGTATCTTCAAAAGTGAGTAGAAATATTAGACGAAGAGAAGGAGGCAGACATACTTGAAGATCACCTGGCTATAGATGAAATGTGAAATAGAAATTGTCTGGTTTAGAACTTCCATTTCATTAAAAATTTTTTTCGAATTAATTATATGTATTTAACTGTAAATTCAAGGCAGTAATAGTATAATAGGTTATAGTTAGCTATGAAACTTGAAACAAATAATAATTTCAAGTTGGTTATAGTTATCAAAATAATATTAAAATAGTAGGATATAAATAAAAGATAATCGATAGTAAAAATAAATAGATTATTCGATTATTATTTTTTATTATAAATTATATTTAATAGTATTATTTTTGTTTGAAATTGTATTTAATAAGTTATCAACATGATTTTAGACCATGTGACTAATCATCTTTAACAAAATGGCAGGCACCTAATCAATGAATAAATAACAAAAAATTAATTAGCAATTGAACAAACCAAGCAAGCTATAATAAAAAAAAATTTAGTTTTAGAATTAAATACAAATTGGCTAAATTTGAAACCCATATTTGAGCTTTTAATACCTTAATACTTCTAAAGAAGTTTTCTATTTAGCAGCACTATAAGATTTAATTCCCAATACTGAAATATAATTCAAATTTGAGACATACTCTAACAAAAAAGAGCAAAGTAAAGTAAAATATAATATTAAATACTCAAAAATACTGAATACCAAAAAGCTCTAAATTTTCTAAAAACTGGATACAATTGTGGCTATTAATTGTTTTAATTAATTGTGTTGATTAAACTTCACTAGTAAATTATGTTGAAGAAGCTATTTGAAAAGATCTAAAACTTTAAAGATTCGAAAAAGACTGACTAATATGAATATGTTGACTATATATAATACTAAAAAAATAAATATGTTGGTGAGTTTAAAAAAAACTTAATAAGTTATACAGCTTGACTTAAAATTCTAATAAGCTTAATACTCTTTTTGGACAAACCTTTTTCTTCATCAACAAAGCTCTTAGATCGTACTTCTTTGAAGACACTGGAAAACAACAAAATATTCTGTTATTTTCTTCAAGCCACACTCTTTTTACTTGCTCTTTCTCATCCTTTTGTTGGTCTTCCAAAAAATTTTAACAAAAAGTGGGGATTTGGCTTACCCCCTCCAAAAGATCAGCATTGTTTACTTCTCAAATTTGGACAGATTAGCGGAATGCAACTACATGTTTGTTTATGAACAAATATAGCACTTTTTCATGGAACTCGGCCTGGGAACTCTAATTACGGCAGCAGGTGGCTTGAGATATGAGTTCTTGGACGATGGCAGTACCTGGCTCAAGATACAAATTAGGATGGGCAACAAAGCCATCCGGAGTTGGTAGAAAGGTCAAAAAGTAAATTTAACGTTAAGGCATAGCTTTACAGTAGAGATATACAAATGTTGCATTTGTTATATAATTTTTATCAG